GAATATATATATTATATCTATTGTATATTATAGATATAATATATATATTCTGCTGTCGATATTATATATATATATACACAAATCCAACTAGAGAATATAATAAAGATTAAAAATAAGAATATAAGGGAGCTACTGTTTCCACAGGTCCCCTTTAACCCTTTAGAGTAGGACACTACAAGAATGAGCCTATTACCATGAGGCTGCAAACACAGAGGTCATATAACTTGCTTAACCGTCAACTGTTTGTATGAACGTTTTTTGATAATTTTGCAGAGCTAAGACAGTTTCTGAGAAAAGGTCTCTGACATAGCTACTAGTGTCATAAAAAAACTTAAGAAAAGCTTAGTTTTTTTTCTCATAATGTGGAATCTAAGCTCTGCAGTAATTGCACAATTCTAAAAATACATTTGTTCTTTAGTTACTGGCTTATGCTCTTGCTATTACAATTTTTACACTCTTGTTGTAGCTTTTAACCTTCTTCTGAAATAACATGGCCCAAGCAACAGACTTGTTTCTGCACCCGCTAAAATTTTTATAACTGGTTTTATACTTTCATTTGCTTCACATTTTAGTAGATATTGTTTTATCCTTGGCCTGTATTGCAATTTAGGAACTATTTTAACTGGATCTACAGTTGTCAACAATCCTACATCAATTTTTCCTGTAGACCACAAAGCTTTTGGAATATCATTGAAATAATTTTCAGCAGATTGTGATAGCAAAGAATGCTGAGTTATTTTAACACATGCTAAATCTTGAACCTGGGGTTTTACATCGAACAGAATTTTATAAGGGTGTTTCCATAGTTGGAACTGATAGACGTAGAGCAGAAATGCTAAGCATGTTGCATAAAACACAGAAGGATTTAGTTGCAACACCATTACATGGTTTAATCTGAGGTAATGTATCCCTCAGAACAGATTTATCGGCTCTGGTGTCACACAGAAATTTCACTTTTGCCCCTTGTATTTTTAAATGCCAGTATGGTTTTTCTGAGGTGTTTAATAAAGAAAAGAAAATTTGATGTAGATCCAGGACCTCCACTGGGTCCACAATTAACTGCATTTTTTGCTGTTGCACATGACTCCTGGAGTCAGTGCTGGTTATAACATTGCCGACGGGGAGGGACACTCTGCAGGGGTCTGGACATTCTTGAGCAAAGTGGCCCTCCTTATCACAATTGTAGCACTTATTTTGCTTTCTACGTGGCCCCTTGTTTTTCCCCTGTGACCACCAGCCCCTCACTTGAGCCCAATTATGGTCCAAACTACACTTCATAGCTTTTTCTATGTTTTAGGTCGCACAATCCACTTATTGAACCCCTCAAATTTTTTAATTCCCTGTATGTAGCTTGCATGACTAAAAAAAATTTTCTGGCGGGTTATTTATTTTTAATTTTTTGGTTCCGAACCTAATAGTTTTGGAGACCATGCAGATGCATTAGGAAGGCTGTCAGTTGGATCAATGCTGCAGTTATTGTTCCACTGACAACCCACCTACCCCACTGCTGCAGATTCAAGCTGTCCCCCTCTAAACAGTGTTTCATTATCTTTTGGACACATAAACAACTTAAAAGACCCACAAACATAACTTTAAAGACAGAAACACATAACATTAAAAAACGGACAAACACAACATTAGATCTATTTATACATTTTTAATAATAACATATCTACTTTGCGCATTTATTATATCAACAACTCGCCATTTGTAGCTCATTTATTTATTGATCAATATATTTATTTTTGTATTTATTTATTAATTTATTTATTTATCTATTTTTGCACTAGTGCTTGTTTCTAGCCGGCACACAACATTTCTCCATTGATCTACTTCCACACACCATCTATTTCATACTTTTCCTTGCACTTCTACAAGTATTTTTGTAGAAGCAAATTGTGTTGCCTTAGGTTATCGTGACCTTAAGCTCACAATAAT